TTGGTGACAGCTATCTTAACATAATCCAGATTCGAAGAAAAATCAGTCCGCGACAACGTTCGAAGGAGATTTTGATCATTTGACTCCCACTTGGTCAGGAGATCTGGTTCGTCGTCAACCTGCTTAAACCTGTTGGGTTCCTTGTATTCAAAGATAATGGCAAGTTCTTCGACGGTATCAGGGATTTTGTCGGGTACGAAAAGTGGTGGCACATGTAGCGAATGAAGGATCGGGGAGTCTTGCAAAAATACCGTTGCGATATGGCTCTTGAAGCTTCCCGCTGCGAAATCTGGGACGGAATCAAGTTCCTTGTCTGGAAACTCGATGCGAAGGTTACGCATTTGCGATGTGGACGAGCATTTGATCTCCCCGCCAAGGTTTCCGAGGGAATTGAGGGCTTGAAATCCCGTGCCCTCTGGGAATTTGACAAGAAGGTTCTCGATTGCGTATGTTTGCTGTGGCAACAAAAGCCAGCTTACGGCACCGTAGGAAATATTCTTCCAAGGAAGCTCCAACACGAGGGTTTCGAGAGATTGAGGGGGAGATTTCCCATCGAGGTACTCCTGTGTCAACTGCGCGTCTCCGTCTTGCCCGCAATGTGAAGAAAACCCGCGTATTCTCAGGTACGACAGTTGCGACAAATTCGGGAGTTGCTCGCAAATGTTGATGAAATATGGGCAGTATCGCTGTGCCCTATAATCATCCTGCAGACTGGAAAAATCGGCAAGGAGTTGCAGACCTCTGAGCTGCGTAAGTTTTCCGATCGCACGAAGCGCGGAACGAATTCCGGAAAACTCGACACCAACGGCCCTCCCTCTACTTCTATCTTCTTCTATATTTTCTTGGGATTCCTCCAAGTCGAGTGATTGGTCTGTTCCCGTTGCTTGCTTTGATCGAGATTCTAGCGCTTCGTCATCCAAGGCATCCTCTGGAGAATCCCTGACGTCAACGACCAAGTAGCGTAAGTTGGGCATGAAGGAAAGCGTTTCGGCTAGCAAGTGCCAGTGATTCTTCGTGTGCGGCTGCTTGTTGTACTCGTCATCTGTGTCGTGTACATACCAAAACTCCAATGCGCAGCCTTTGTGCTGGTTGTTATTCAAATAACTCTTCATGGAGGCGACCGATGATATGATCACCCTCCGGTCCCAGACTTGCTTCGAGGCGCTAGCCCAATGCTTGTTGACAAGGCGCATGGACCTAAGGCATTCTCTGTAATCGTTTCGTTGGGTGATGGACCATCGAGAGTCCGGATTGCGGTTGGCCGTATCCTCCAAGAAATCACCCATTGCGTCGTAGAAGATCACCGCTATGGATTTGATAACAATCGCCGGTACGACTAGAGGTTTCCGTGGAGGGACTTTGAGAGGAACTTTTGCCGGAGGTTTGTTTCGAGGTTTTCGCTGTTTCGGAGGCATGGTCGTGGACGATTGCAGGGAATGCTATGAGCGGTATAGTGTCTGCGGAGTAAGTTGAGCAAAAAATGAGCGAAAAAAGACACCTCGAGAATAGCAACGTCACTCTTACTCGAAAAATGAATCCGCCGAGAGCTCTGGAAATCCGAGAGGAAAGCTGGAAGATTACAACCGACTCCGCCGCGTCCCCCGGGCCGCTGGATCTTGCTGTTTGGAATACGACTTCCACACCTAATACTTTTGAGAGATGAAGCAGCGATGAAGCTTGCTGTCGAAGCGCCTTCGAAGTTGGATTTTGTGGTGAAGGTGGTCACAGAGAGAAAAAACCCGGACGCGACGCGTCGACGTGGCAAGAAAAAAAAAGTCCCATGGCAATCGCGTGATCGCGTCCGGCTTGAGTCGCTTGACTATGTCGCTACAGGACATCGTCACTACCACTACTACTACATCTCGAAGTGATCATAACTATAGCAATAATAATTGGAAGAGGAGCGGGCGTTCGAAAAACTGAATAATGGGGGCTCCAAGTCAGACACGGAAGGGAGGAAAGGACGATCATTACTAGTACTACATCTGGCCCAGGCCCTAGCGCTTGTGACGGGAAGAAAAGCAACACCCAAAATATTATGTTCATGTCAAGGGGTCTGTAGGGAACTGAGTTCCAATGCCCACTGTAAACAAAGCCGGATAGGGTGTTCGTTGCCGACGGCATGTGAACCTCGTCACTCGAAATCGATATCGCTCGTTCCATCGTCGTACTGAGGGAGCGGCGGGCTAAGATAAAATCATCTTGATGGGCGACACTAATCTGACTTTTCGAACTGAAACTTACTATTCTATTCCCCCCTCACGTAAGAAATTAGCCATACGCCTTTCCAACGGCAGATCCGAAAGCATCTGTACTCGAATGTCGTTCTTCTCGCAGTAACTCTGCGACTTCGGAAGCCAGAAATCCATTTCCCCATCCTCGCCAGGTGCGCCACATATGTCGTCTTCGTTGGAGACGCTGACCGTCACCACCTTTAGGCGTCGAGGAAATCTAGGCCGCGAAAGTGCAGTGACGAGAATTTTGTCGCGTGTGCACCACTGAGAGCGTTCATCCGAGCTGTCATAGTAGTATCCCTTCTGCTTGTGCTCGAATAGGGCGACCACTTCTTCTATGTTGTCGGGGATGTCATCCGAGATGAACAGGGGCGGCATTTGCAGCGATCGAAGATTAGGATTGTCCTTCGTGAACGTACCCGCAATTATTGCCCTGAACGCGTCGGCTGCTATTTTGGGGATCTCGAGGTGTTCCTCGTCCGGATACTCAAGGCGAAAGTTTCGAATCTGCGGCATGCGAATATGCTGGAGCTTCGCAACTAGGGTGATTAGAGCACCAGCTGCCGAAGTGTCTGGGAGCTTGATCAGGAGGTTCTCCAATGCGTATGTCTGGCGCGGTGACAAGAGCCAACTTGCAGCATCGCGAGGAGTCGATATGGAGGGAAGTTCCAATACCAAGGTTTTGAGCGACGGAGGGGGTATCTTCCCAGAAAGACATTCCTTCACGATCCGAGTCTCCTCGTAGTCTTTCTCCTTGTCGCGGTCCTTTTCCTCGTCACTATCTTCCTCTTCGTCGCTGTCTGTCTCATGATCATTGTCGCCGTCTTCCTCGCAATGAGAATTGAATCCTCGAATCCGCAAGTAAGATAGGTGCTCCAAGTGCGGAAGCTGCTCGCAAATGTGGATGAAGTACGGACAATAGCGTTGCACCCTGTGGTCCCTGATCAAGGTGAAGTAGTCCGCGAGTAATTGCAAACCTTCGAGGGAGACGAGTTTCCCGATCGCACGTAGCGCGATGCGAATGCCGGTGAAATTGACCCCAACCTCTTTCCCCAGCCTTTTGTCCTCTTCTGTGTCTTCCTGTGATCCCCCGGCATCGAACGACTTAACGGAATTTTCGACAGCCTTTGGACGAGATTCTTCCTCGGAATCCGAGTCGAACATTGGGTGACGACGTCTCTCTTCTGGAAAATCTCTGACGTCGATCGCGAGAAAGCGTAGGTTGGGCATGGACGACAACAGTTCCGCGAGGTAGTGCCAATGAGTCTTCGGATGCGCCAACGCATCGTACGCGTCGTTCGTGTTGTGCACGTACCAAAGCTCTGTCGCAGAGCCTTTCAACTGATTATTTTGCAGATAACTCTCCATAGACGCGACGGTGGCGATGATGACCCTTCGGTTCAAGACTTGTTTGGAGACCTTGGCCCAACGTCTGTCGACAAGGCACATCGACCGAAGGCTCTTGCGACAATCGTTTCGAGGCATGCGTTTGAGGCGAGGTTCGCGACTGCCCACCTCTTCTAAGAAATCACCCATGGCGTCGTAGAAGATGGCAGCGACGTGTTCTACAACGATGGATGGTACTGGAGGACTCGGTGGGCTTAGGTTTGGTGGCTTTGGTGAAGGCTTTGCTCGATTTTTGCGTCGATTTCGTGCCATGGCTGCGATAGTGGTTCGATGTAGTTCGACGACCAAGGCGAATGTTGAAGTGGAAGTCGTTCGCAGCGCTAGCGCGTCGGAGTCCGAGTCGCAACTGCAGGACTCTCTTGAAGAGGTGTCCATGCCAGAGTCCCTCAGGCTCCCGAAATAGACAGCCGACCGACTCGGTCGACATCAAAATGTGACACGCCGATGGGACTCGCCGTAGACCCAAGAAGAAGAAACGCGTTCGAGCAGAAAAGTTTACATCTTGCAAATGCAATGCACCCTTCTGCGAGTGAGGAATACCACGACGGGGAAGAGTATTGGTGGATATGGCACAGAGCGCGTGGGGAGGATTTTCACGTCCGAGCCTGCGCCAAATGACCCAGGAATCATCAAAATCTGTCAGAGGCGACCATAAAACTCGCACTCAGGTACTAGCAATCTATTCGAGAGTTCTGGTGATCGTCGTGCGCAGACTCGGTAGAGATTTCGTGAGGTCTTGGCATCTTTGAGCAAGTGCAAGACCATCGTAAGCTACCGCTGTCACTCGAATCGGTTCGAATCCAAATCTGTCACGCAAGAGTTGAATTGTAGAGTTTGGCAGCAAATTCGAGGAAAGACGCACCCTGGTACAAAGTGGACCGCATAGCGACTCGGATCCGCAACAGCAAGAAGAAATCCATCTGACAGCCAACAATCCTGCGACGGAATTTCTAAAGACTCAATGCAGTATAACATAGGACACAAACACTGCAGTATTTGAGTTCTTGATGGTTCATCTCGAACGCTGGCAGGTAGAAATGGCGCAGAAGGAAGGCGTGCTGGGGCGGTCGAAGACATGTCAACCTTCAAGCTTCAAATACCACACGAAGATTAACGTGAGCTTTATCGTCAAAACTCGGGAGAAAAAAACATTTACTTACGAGTGTAATCGACTGGACATCATCACATCATCGTTATCAAAGTGACTCTGAGCGAGTGACGTAGAAAGACGAGCACTGTTGTTCGAGTCGAAAATGATGAAGAAGTGGTCTGCAGGGACGCGAAGCGTCCCGGAAGACCGCGAACTGAGATTCAAGTGCAAAAGCTTGGAGGCTGTCGAAGGAAAGGAAAGCAAAAAGATGACAAGAGTGGGATTTGAACCCACGCCTTCTGACGAAGATGAGAATCCTGTGAACAGGAGAAGCTGTCACGCTTGAGTCACACGCCTTAGACCGCTCGGCCATCTTGCCCCAATACCCCCAATTTTGGAAAGAATAAGCGAAGATGTTTAACTTGGAGAGAAAGGAGCACAAAGAGAGCATCATGATTGGAAAAGCAAGTAAGTTCAATTCAAAGCATTGCTTTGCAATGCTTTTCATTGGGACAAGGGAAAATGAATCTCATAATTGAAGGTCAATGCAAGTTTATACCACACAGGTACTAACAGGCACCTCTGCTTTCTTTTGAATCAACTGTATGTAAGTCTGCTAGAACAAGCCATATACACCATTTAAACATATATCAATTCAAATGGCTTTCAAATCAGGAAATCCAGCTCACTTGAAATATAATATTGATACTCAATATTGAGTCATAGACCCTGTCAAAACTGTTTCCAAATACAAACTTGCTGTGGCTATTCTTTGAGCATCCACAAGCTATCTGATCAGCAGGTGCATCCATTCATCCCTCTAGTATGGGCCCTTGCACTGGCATTGTGCAGCGAGCACAAAGTGACAAGGAGCTCCAGCCTGGCACCTGCAAGT